GCGGTGATCCCGGTCGAGATTAATATCCCAAGCTTCCGGGTGGCGAATTATGAACCAGGCCGAAATGAAGAAGACAGGGTGGCTGATTTGGATCTCTCTGATGAGCAACGTGAGGTCGCGGCTGTGCGCCTGGAAGAAATGAAAAGGCAAGTTGCCCGATACTACAACAGGAAAATGCGCCCTCATGGTATCTCCAAAGGCGCTCTGGTCCTCAAGAGAGATTTCAGGCCCTGCGCGCAGGAGGGCAAGCTGGCTCCCAAGTGGAAAGGCCCGTATCGAGTGAAGGAAGTCATCGGAGCGGCTACGTTCAAGTTGGAACATCTGAATGGGAAGCCAGTGAAGAGAACATGGAACGCGCAGAACTTGCGTGCGTATTGTGCCCAACTGGGGGGCAAGGAGGCTTCAGTATGAGCAAAAGGGAAACGCCTGCGGGAGTATGTAGTGCTGTGTAATCAAAAGCGCTTGTTGTGTTCAGCGCCTCGTGTCGTGTAATCAAAGCGCTCGCCGTGTTATGGCGCCTGTGTTTGTGTTTATGAAAAAACTCCCAAGATTGATTTCCTCTCCACTAATGCGCCCGAGTAAGAAATGCGCCCACAATTGTAAAGCACCCGTGAAATATGTGCCCGGAACGAACGCGCCCGTAAGACTTTGCGCCCACTTAGTAAAGCACCCATACATTTGTGCCCAAGAAAATAAAGCGCCCACAAATACGCGCCCATGAGAATAAAGCGCCCAATAAAATACGCGCCCAAGAAAATAAAGCGCCCACAAATACGCGCCCATGAGAATAAAGCGCCCCATAAAATAATGCGCCCGATGAGAGTTGGGAGCACAGTAAGCGTCCAAAGGCGAACAAGACAAGTTGGCAAACGTCCAAAGAAAACAATAATACATGCCACAAAAGAGGCGCGCCCTCACTACTCGGCCTCCGAGGAGTCACTCATGGACGACTCACTCTCTGGGGACGAAGGCGCCCCCCTCTCTCCTGCAGGCGCCGCATCTTCCTCTTGCTCCTTTTGCATCTCCTCAATGACAAAATTCACAAGGTCAGGGAAGTTGACGGTGATGTCGGGGTACTCCTGGTCGAGCTTCCTCTTGACAAGCACCAAGCTATCAAGGGACGCCTTGGCAATTAGGTCTTGCCCTGCCTCAGAATTGGGAAAATTCTTAAGCGCCGCCTTGAGAGACCTTTTTTCCCCCCGCACAGTCTTGAGCGCCTTCTTGTAATCCCTGCGGCGGTAGGCGGCCGCCTTTACCTCGTCCTGGAGGGTGCCTTTCTCCTCCTTCAATGTCGCAAGCTCGGCGTCGCGGGCGCCCAGATCTAGGGTAAGGGCCTCCTTCTCCGCGGTCAAGGCGCCTAGCCTTTGCTCAAAGTCTCGGCGCTCTTCCTCCATACGGGTAGCAAAGTCGGCGTCCCGTTGGCGGCGCTCCTCCTCTAGAGTGCTTTGAAGCGCCGAAATCTGCTTTGCCGCTTCCAATTGCGCCTCCTCGCACTCTTTAACAAGTTGCTCGCGGCGCATGGTTACGGTGTCAAGGTTGTCCTTCATGGAGGACAAAGACGACCGGGCCTCGCGGCACTCCTCAATCGCCTGGTCTGTCTTCCGGGCGCCTGCCTCGGCAAGAAGGAGCATCTGCAAGACGCCCAAACAAGCAATGTGAAAAAGTGCAAGTCAAATAGGGGCGCCCAAGCAAACAAAAAATAGGCGCTTAAACAATGTGAAACACGTGCAAGAAAAGTGAAGGCGCCTATGAGGGCATACCTTGACTCCCATTCGGGCGACTTCAGCCCATGGGCGATCCTCCGAGATCGCGGAGGGCACCTGCAGAACTTGCGACGCCGAAAGGGCCAGGCCCATGGCGCAGCCGCGATCCACCGCTGCTCGTGGAGAGCACGACAAGGCCACCCGCTCCAAATCGATGCGCCTGGGTTGAATCAGGGGGGGCCTCCCATCGGACCCCAATAGGCGCCCTTCCACAATGGCATACCGTTGGGGATGGGCATCGCCTTGACTAGAGGCGCCTCCCTCTCCTTGGTTGGCTCTATGCCGCTTTGCTGGTGGGGACAGTTGAGCGCCTCCTCTCTTCCCACGACTGATCAAGGGCACTTCATCCTCTTGATCGTCCATGTCCTCAATCACGACGTGGTCTTTCATGCCATCCGCGCCCAAGGGTGTGGACGCCCCACTCGATGCCCCGGTTATCTTCTCCCCGGGCGCCTTCTCCTTCCCTTTATCCATAGGCGCCACCAGAGGTTGTGGAGTAGAGACAGAGGCAGGGGAAGACTCCCCCAGGTTCGACCCTCCTTGTCGAGGCTCCTCCAAAGTAATCCTTTCATACCGACTCTTAATCAAGTCAGCAATGCGCCCAAACCTCGTACCTGCAAGCAAAACCAAGGGTTAGCTAAGGCGCCCAAAAGAAAATGCCAAGGGCAAAAAAGGCAATCAACACACCATCCGCATAGTATTCTTCTAAAATAGGCGCCCGCGCTTCAGTGGGGCGCAAGTTGACAGGCGAGGCGCTTATTAGGGCGGCCCCGGCTCGCTCTTCGCGACTTAGGACAACGGTAGCGTTGAAGCGCGCCTCAATACCAAGCTCCCAGTCGGTCCTAAAGGCGCCTCCGCTTTCAAAGAAATAGTCCCTATGCGCCTTTATAAAGAAGAACCCGTTGAACCACGTGCGCCCCAATTTAGGGCACTTCGTCACGAAATGGGCCTTCAATTTCTTCCGCCGCTTTAAGGACAGACAGTTGTCCCGAGAAATCACTGAGAAAAAGTGGCGGAATAGGTTGAAGGTTGGGCGCACATGATGAACTCGGCACTTCAGCTTGAAGAGCACAACAATAAGTATCACGGACGGGGATAGGCGCCCGATTGTGCATTCGCAATACTCCAGGATGCCCTCCAATATTGGATCTATGGGAAATCGGAGCCCGAACCGGAAATACTCCTGATATATTCCCAACCAACGAGGCCCGCACAACCCCACCCTGGCCATGGGCGACGGAGGCGCATACGTCCAGGTGCGGGGGAGCCCGAGCCCATCGATCAGGCTCTTCATCCAAGGCGCCGAGATGGTGGAGTTATGTTCAGGCCCTGCCACATTCGTCGGCAAACATGTAGTCTCCCAGGGCGCATACTCTGGCGGCCAGGTGCCTTCCCAAGTAGTAATCTTGTACGACCCATCGTCCGGCACGTCGTAGTTCGAGGAATGCGTCGGAATGGGTGACAATGCGGGCGCCTCCACTAAAACAAGTCAAGTAGGCGCACAACCGATTGGAGCAGTAAGAGGCGCCTCCATCGCAACAATACACAAGCATTCGCGCAAAAAAAAAAAAAAAAAAAACACGACGAAAGGAGAGAGAGGCTTACCGGTCTTGGAGGGGCCGCCTTGATTTTGAGAGGAGCCCGCGGCGGTGGCGGCAGCGTCGGAGGGGAGAGACATCGTGGCGAGGAAAGTCGAACGCTAAAAAAGGGAGCGAGGCAAAGCAGAGAGAGAAGCTAGAGTGAGAAGGCAAATTGAGGGCGAGTGAAGAACTATGCTAAGACTCGACTTACATTTAAAGAAAACGGGAGCGCCTCGAATATCGTGCCAACCACCACGTGGCAAAATTCACAACCACCTCGAATATCGCGCCGGTTGTGAAGGGGGGCAGGAGTGAGGCAGCCTAGGCGCAGCGGCGACCGGGCAACGGACGAAATCGGGGGGCGCCTGACGTCAAGGGAAGAAATAGGGCGCCTTCGTCGAGGGAGAATGGCGGCGCCTCTGACAGAGACGCATGGGTCAGGAGACAGTTCAGGCGCAGCGGCGACCGGGCAACGGGCGAAATCGAGGCAGCCTAGGCGCAGCGGCGACCGGGCAATGGGCGAAACCGAGGGGCGCCTTCGGTCAAGGGAGAACGACGGCGCCTTTGACAGAAGCGCGTGGGTATAATGGCGGCTGGGCAATAGGCGAATCGAGGTGGGGCGCCTTGTATTGAAGAAGAAGAAGAGCGGCGCTTTGGCTTGTCCGGAAGGCTAGGGCACAAGGCGAGGGAGGTGAGGAGTGAGATATTAATGCACCCAGATAAGAAAAGGCGCCTGACAATCAACTGTAAGCAGGCGTGGGCGCCTTGAGGAAGGAACTTCCAATGATAGCGCAATGCGCCTAGGCGCGTAGGGGGGGGGGGGCTGCTTAAGAAACAGGGAAGCCAAATACCGTGCGCCCCGAGGAGAGACGATTGGGGGCCCAATGATTGGGGGGCAAACGACGGCCGTGAGAAAGGTTGGAAAAGAAAAGAGCAAGTCTAATAGTTAGGCGCTCAAAGAATCCAAATTTGAGCACCTAACTGGGGGGCAATTGTTGGGGGTATACGAATAAGGAGGCCTCGATGTACGGGTGAGGCCCAGTTAAGAGCACGAAGCCTAAGTAGTTCGGGGAAAGGTGAGCCCAGTCAATATGGGGTGGGCCATGATAGGCGCCTTCGGGCTTGGATCAAGGGCACGTTGGAAGTTGCATACACTAGGCGCCTAGGGGTACTCGCACCGGAGGGGCCTGGGTGCGCACGTGGGAATTGTGTATTTAGAGAGGGCGCCGGGAATCTCCTATGGAGGAAGCGCCCCGGGTCACCCGCACTAAAGGTAGGGCTGACGTGGAAGTCCGTACGATAAGGTCCAGGTAAGCAATGATCGGCTATAAATAGCGAGGAGGGTAAGCATTTACTCAATTTGGCTTCTCTCACTAAAAATTGTGCATAACCAGCACTTCTCCCTCTAAGAAGGATACTGACTTGAGCGTTGGAGGACTAACGGGCCACAAGGCCCACCTCTGTGAGTGCAGGCTTCATTGGGAGAGTCAGCTAGTACGGAAGAAGAGACGGTAGATCGAGAGGGCATCAACACAACCCAATTATACTTCTGATGGAATCATACCACTTTTTAAACGATATAAACCGGTTTGAAAATTTATAGGACTCTCTTACAAAATAAAGGGCATAGCTAAATTTTTATTTCCCCCGGAACTTCTCCGTAATTACGGAAACACCCTCCAAAAACCTCTTTAAATCTATCTCACAGACGCGTACTGAAAGACAAGCGCTCCACTTTTCAAGCCCGTCTTCTTCTTCATTCCTTCCTTAGATCCCGCTTGATTCACGCCCTTCTCCTCCGAGACCGCAAGCCATGGCGGGATCCCCTGCCACCGTGAAACCCACCCCGATACTGAAAGATGAGCTCGACATCGTCATCCCCACAATCCGAAACCTCGATTTCTTGGAGATGTGGAGGCCCTTCTTCCAGCCTTACCATCTGATTATTGTCCAAGATGGCGACCCTTCAAAGACCATCAAAGTCCCCGAGGGGTTCGATTACGAGCTCTACAACAGGAACGACATCAACAGGATTCTGGGTCCCAAAGCTTCTTGCATTTCGTTCAAGGACTCTGCCTGCAGATGCTTCGGGTTCATGGTGTCCAAGAAGAAGTACATCTACACCATCGATGACGATTGCTTTGTAAGTCTCTCCCCTCTCTTTCCTCAGATCTTGTTGCTTTTTTGAGTTGGATGTAAAGTTTGCTTTGATTTACTGTGCGTGGACTTTATGGTTGACTTGGATGTGGGATTTGTTGGCATTATAGACTTGGAAGTTTGGCGGTTCGATTTAGGATCGTAGATGTGATTTTCATGATGTTCGATTTGATTGTCACGTGGTCCTTGGAACTCTGTAGATCTCGGTTTCTGATTATCTCTTTTCCCCTGTTTAGTGAATTTGGATAAACTGATTAAGATTAGTCGTTTCACTTTGCAATTTGGATAAACTGATTAAGATTAGTCATTTCTGATCCGAGATCTGGGAATAAGGTCCTCTCTACAGGGACAATGCCTGCCAAGTGTCTGTGATTCTTAATCAGATTCTTCGCAGGTCCTTGTTTATAGATTGGGGAGGACCTGATATCAACTTATGGCATCTCAGAAAGCCAGTGCTTTTATATTCAATGGGCACTGATGCTCGCTATGGTGCCTACATTGCCGTTTGATCTAATCTAATGGGCTTGATATGCTACCGTCATGAATGTTTTCACAATAGGGGCTCTTATGTTGTTTGTTTGTGGTTATTCCATTGTAGGTGGCCAAGGATCCAACCGGGCAGCAGATCAATGCGCTGGAGCAGCACATCAAGAACCTGCTATCCCCATCGACCCCGCACTTCTTCAACACGCTCTACGATCCGTACCGAGAAGGTGCTGACTTTGTCCGCGGGTACCCTTTCAGTCTCCGTGAGGGCGTTGCCACGGCGATTTCGCATGGCCTGTGGATGAACATCCCTGATTATGATGCTCCCACTCAGCTGGTCAAGCCTCTCGAGAGGAACACCAGGTTACTTTCCACCCCAATGATGGAATGATGATGGACTTCTTTTCCCCTCTCAGTTTCGCTAAGTTGTTGAACATTTGCAGGTATGTTGATGCTGTGATGACAATCCCCAAGGGAACTCTGTTCCCCATGTGCGGGATGAACCTTGCCTTCAACCGTGAATTGGTTGGACCTGCATTGTACTTTGGACTCATGGGAGATGGCCAGCCAATTGGTCGATACGACGACATGTGGGCTGGATGGTGTGTGAAGGTACAAAGAAAGATTTTAACATTATTACAGCTTCTGAGGATATTAGTAAGCTAAACCTTAATAACAAAAACCCATGTACTATTTCCTTTGTGATGTTAAGGTGATCTGCGACCATATGGGATGGGGAGTCAAGACCGGGTTGCCATACATTTGGCACAGCAAGGCGAGCAACCCGTTTGTGAACCTGAAGAAGGAGTACAAGGGCATATTCTGGCAGGAAGAGATCATCCCGTTCTTCCAATCCGTGAAGATGTCCAAGGAAGCCACCACGGTTCAGAAGTGCTACATCGAGCTGTCGAAGGAAGTGAAGGAGAAGCTGGGGAAGGTGGATCCCTACTTCGACAAGCTTGCCGATGCCATGGTGACCTGGATTGAAGCTTGGGATGAGCTGAACCCTTCTTCAGCCGAGAAGCCAGCGAAGTAGAAGGAGCGGACGATGGTTTTGTTAGGCCACAGAGAGCAGAGAGCTAAGAGAAGAGAGAAGAGTTTACTTTTGCTGATGAGGGATTTCGTTGGTAGCAGTAAATCTTGGTAGTTGCAGTGTAGGTGGTCTATTGATATTCAGCAACACGATATTTATTTCTATAGCGCTATTGGTTACTATTACGATTATTGTTATTGTTGTTGTCATATTGGTTACTACTTACTAGTACTGCATAATGTTAGAGGATTTTGAGTGAATTAATTGTCATTATCGGTATCTATTATTATGGTATAATAAAATTGAGTTTGTATTGTATTTTTTGTTACTTGTGATTGTGAACCATGTTGTGGTTATGGTCCATGAAACCGTATTATATCGGCTGGAACCAACTGTTGCATTATTGTTGAACTACGATTTTATCATAAAATATTATACCATTAACTTTTTTGGTACCGTTTCTAGTAAGTTGTTATGAAACATGATTGTGGTAGAACTTAGTAGTTGTTGCAGAAAGGTGGGTCGGTGGTCTAAACCCCATTTTCGGTGTATGAATTTTGGTTGGTAATGATATTTAGGGTTTGAAAATTGAAATTGGGAAGGGGAAGGAAAGGACAAAGGAGGCAGACAGAATGGAATCGAGGGAGCAAAATTTGAAATGGGAAAAAGGTGAAAAGTTTTGGAGCCCCACGCGAATCATATAATTTTCAAAATGCGGTCTCCGCTTGGAGTAGGAATGACAATGATTGGGTTGGTTCAGTTCAATTCAATTTGAGTGGATTCATTCATGAAAGAAAAATGTTCGGTAAAATATTTGTTGTGTACGGTTGAGAAAAATCATTCTAATTCAATAAGTATTTATGGGGTGAATGGATATAAATGGGTTAATCGCCATAACCGCAAATATTTTTTTTTTGAGCAATCATATTGTAATACTGACAAAATTTATCCTACAAATATATATCATTGAAGTCTGATAAAATTCATATTATTAAAATTAGATACAAAGCAAAGTTGTTTTATTTTCCGAGTGCTGGCCGAGTGGAAAGCATATTGAATTTTGGTTGAACTCATCCCAACCCAACCTTGTAAAGAAATGAATAAATTCGTATCAAATTTAAAACCCGTCAACATCGCTTTTAATCTACTTTGATCGGATTAGATACTTGTGAGTTTGGGTTGGATTGTCTTCCCTAATTGGAAGGAAGGAAAGCTTTGATCTTTTGTTTGTTTGTTTGTTTGTTTTTGCAGGCCGACTTATAAATTTTCAATTCAGAAGATAAGAGTTGGGTTGAGAGAGAGAGTGAGAGACTGAGTGGGATGGGACTTGGGAGTGGTGGCAGCGTGAGAATTTAGGGAGGGCACATGTGGATGCGCTGGCCTGCAACTGGAATTAAATGGTTAAAAAGAAGAGACAGGTGGCACCCTCCTAATTACATTTATTAACCGCTACTTATGGAATTAATTGAATTGAATGGACTTGGCCCTTGGGGGATTGATTGTCTAAATTAATTGACCCTCCACCCACTTGCTAACATTTCTTATCCGAAATGGAAAGGGGAGGACCCGGCCCGACCCGACCCAGGAGAACCCGACTCCCTGTCAGTTCAGTTCGCCAATCTCAAATTGAAACTGAGATTTCATTTCATTTCATGGGAAACGCATTAATGGGCTGGTTTTTTTCATTTTGGTACAAAGAATGAGGTGTTTGTTATTAAGCCTTAAAGTGAGGTTTCGTGCCGTTCCGTTCCAAATAAGGGTTCCAACTTCCAACTAATCAAATCATTTATTCAGCTAATTGTCAGATCTGGAAGTGGAAACCCAACCGACTCGTTCCCACGGTGAAACAAAAAATGAATATGAAAATGAAACCACCAGTCTTGTTTCTGGTTCAGCTGTTTCCCTTCTGGCTCTTGTCTTGGCATTGGCGGCAATTATTGCGCAAAAACGCAAGCACGGGTTGTGTGTTGAGCGCTCGCTCGAGCCTTCCTCTGTCGGATTCGTTTTCTTTCGTGTTAATACTTAATACCTTATTTTGGCCCAAACTGTACCCATATAATCAATTTTGGTCAGTGGTTTTAGAAATTCTCATTCTTACCTCAACTATGCATCATATAGAATAGACTCAATTGGCCTGACTCGTGAATTTCCGTCAAATTAGACGGTCAACATCATTGACCGTTAGTGAATCAGCATAACATGCTGACATGGATGCCACATGAAAAAAATTAATAAAAAGTTAATAATTTAATAAGATAAAATGAAAAAATAAAAATTAGATTTTATCTCCAATCTGCTTCCTCCGGTTTCATCTTTTTCTCCGAAGGAATTGAAGAAAGTTCGCGGCGCTATCGCATCTCGACGGCGAGTTTCTTCTTCCTCCACCATCCTCCTCCTCATTCGCTTGCACTCCCGCTCGATCTTCTCTTCTCGGGTCTGGCGGCGGGCCTCTTGTTGCTGCTACTGGTTCGTCTTGGTCCGAAAGAGATTGTCGTACAGCTCGCGAGATCCGTCAGCCTAAGAAAATCGTAGATGCTCGGGCCTCTGTTTCGCGTACGGATTGTCGGGGTTCTTGCCGAGGGAGACGGAAACCGAAGATGCCTCCATCTCCATAGCCAGCTCGTCCAATTTTTCCCGGATATCCATCAGCCTCCTCCTCATCTCGACAAGCTCCTCGATTCTTTAGCCAGTCGTCACCTTGTCCTCTCCGACCACTTATCTTCCTTCCTCCAGCGATAATGGATGATGACCGGCTAGTAGATCTAATCAAGAAAAGTATATCTAATTAATAAATTGGGGAAGAGTTATGTTTTTGTTCATGCACCAAACTCTGGGTATTTTACTGCTGCTCCATTTGCTCCTTGTGTTTCTGTTCATGCCCCAATTTCTGGATATTTTACTACTGTTGATGCCAAGGTTAGAGCAGCTTGCTTTAATATGTTTAAGGTCCGGAGAGCGCTGATTTCCCAAAGCCTTTAACCACATCCAGCTCCGTGCGAATACCCAAAAAAAGGTCCCACCGGGGGGGGGGGTCCTGGTTGGAACCTCGTCCAACGCTCAAATTAGTAATCTGAATGGAATAAAATAAATACGATGACGTTAGACCTGGTCCGTTCCCACTGTCGTAATTGAGCGTCGTCGGCTATTTAATGCCGCCCGGTGGAGACTATCCACGATTCCATGGCTTAGTCCGCCAAATTGAGAGTGTGTTGAGTGTTTAGAGATTTAACACGTTTTTGGGAGACCGGGAGGAGAGAGAAAACATTTTTAGAGAGAGAAAGTAGAGAAAGTGTATATTGCGTGTGAGTTGTGTTGTGTGAAGTAGTCGTAAGCGACTTATGTTGTGTGTGACTTGTTGTTATGAGAAAGGGGGAGGGGTGCTCCCTATTTATAGGAAAAAGTCGTAGTTGAAATCCTCGACTTGCGTTAACATTCACCAACATTCTCCATTATTCCCCTATACTCGTTAATATTCTCCGCTATACCTTAACATTCTCCGTCATACACTAATATTTCTCACCAATTATGGTATATGAGAAAGTTCAAGTGTGTATGAGAAAATGTAAGTATGTCATTGAAAATAAAAGAGTGAATGGGAGATAGGAAGAAGTCATGGGGATGAAGGGTATAAATAATTATAGAGGAAGGAAGGTTTGTACGTATGCATGTGTATGCCAGTGGGTGAACATAGAAGAAAGATTGGGGAAAGAAGGAGAATGGAATGGTGTCTGTGTCTTTCTCATGTGGGCAAAATAAATGGAAGGGAGGTAGTGTGACGTGAGAGGGAAAAGGAAGAAAGAATGAGACCAGAATAATGGTTATGGAAAGATAGGAAAAGTAAAAGGCAAAATACACCTGTATAGCCAAAACTTTGACGGTTTTGCCAAATATAGCCACGTTTGGCGAAATACCAAAAATAGCCACTTCCGTCCAATTGTTTGACGGTGTTAGTTAACGTGCTGACTGGACTAACATATCATCTGATGTGGCGATTTTCGACCCGTACATATTTCCCACGTGGATTTAATAATAAAAAATTAAATAAAAGAACAATAATTAAAATTTTATATTTTCAAATGGATGGAATTTTGATTTATGGAAAATAAAATCAAATAAATAAATAAACCAAAAAACCTTCTCTCCTTCCCAACCTACCCTTCCGCCCTCTCCCCACCTCCGTCGTCGGCGACCCTCTGTTCCGATTTCCCTTCGCCATCTCCCCACCTCCACCGCCCGAAACCGCCATCTTGTCTCTTCGCATCCGCCTCCAAATCTGGAATATTCGTTTCGATTCCTCCAAACCGACCTCCACTGCTCGCTTCGCTCACCAAGTGGAAGAGAGAAGAAAGGGTCCTAGGTTTCTTGTTCTTCTTACTGACCCATGAGCTCTACCCCTTTTAGTCTCCGATCCCTTCTCGTATCCAGATCTGAGGCAGGAATCGCTATGGTTGGCGTGACAATAACCACCATCCAATCCAGAGAAGCAGCGGAGTTCGAGTGATGAATTTGACTCACCATCGTTGCCGTATATTCCTTCATATTAGGCGCCGATTAATTTGTTCCTCGTATTCGGCGGCGAATGCCTCTGGTGAGTTTGTGCGGCGACAATTGTGCAGGGGTTGGTGTTGGGGTTTGTTTGGGGTTTGAAGAGGAAGAATAGACTTGAATTTTAGCTGAGTAGTTGGATAATTTCAGGGGTGTGGGAGGTGATTTATGGTTGTCAAATGTTGTCAAATTGGGTCGGCGGCGACAGATTGTGGGAGGGGAGAGAGGAAGGAGAAGAGGAAGATGAAGGGAAGGAGAAAGGAGAGAGAGACTAATTCAATTTTTTTATATTTTGTTTTTAGTTTTCACAAATAAGAAAATTGTAGTCCATATAAAAAAAGACTATTCGAAAAAAATATTTTTTTTCAATTTTGTTCGGTAATTTTTATTTATTTATTTATCCACCTGAAATTGTTAAAAGATAAATCAAAATGATGTGGCAATGATATGGATGACTTGTCGCTGACGTGTGTGATGATTTGGCATCCTAGTCAGCCTAACGTTAATCTAACTGACGGAGTTTCTAACACCGTTAAAATTTGTAACGAAACTGGCTATTATTGTCATCAAAATTTCAAAATTCTGGCTATTATTGGTATTTCACCAAAAGTGGCTATTATTGTCACAAACGTCCAAGTTTTGGCTACACAGATGAATTTTGCCAAAGTAAAAGGACAAATAAGAAGTTTAGGAAAAAAAATAAGAAAGTGAGTAAAGAAAAAACAATAACAGTAGTTAAAGGAAAAAAACAATGAAGGATTCTGATGGTATAATACAAATTTTAGGGTATTTCGGGTATCGCAATGATTAACAATTTATCAAGTGTATTAATGAAAGGACAGGTGTTTAATATTTTAAAATTTTATCGGTTAAGAACTGGGTCTATCAATTGCCCCCTTACCGATAGAAAAATTCGGAGTTCGCCCGGACATTTTCTGACGGCAAGTCGGTATTAGACCCAGTCTCAAACGATGTTCCTATAAATACCAG